GGGGGGGGGGGGTAGATTCTTGCTTAGGTTTCTATCCTATGCTATGCGTAGCTGCAACCCTTTATCAAACTATGTCAAGGTCAACGGACAGAAGCCTCATCACCACCTGGAGATGCCCACATGATGATGTACACAACTTTTAATTGGATGAGCCAATTGAGCTATTGGGGGTGGGAACATTGCCATCACTTCGTATGTGTGATTTACGCACCTATTTTCTCAGATTCAGAATTCTTTTGTTGCTACCACTTGATTTCCAGTAAAAGATATCTTTTCTCTGATTAAAGGAGTCTTAAGTATTTCTTTCTTGGATTTTGAATGGAGCACCAGCTGACAACCCCTTCCTCCTCTCTGGGGCAGCCCCTCAACTATTGGAAGACTGCTATCCTGTCTCCCCTGGTCCTTCTCTTCACCAGACTAGCCAGGCCCAGTTCCTGCAATTCCATTCTTTCAGTCCCTTAATCATCTTGGTTAATTTTCTCTGCACTCTTTCCAGAGTGTCAACATCTTTTTTTGACCTCTTGTGGGCACGCAGGGACTCGTGACTTATGACGCCTTTCACCCTTCCTTCAGGCTCAACCTCCTACAAGCTCCTCGCTAACAATCCACACCCAAATAAGCAGAGATTTAACATCAGGATGAATTCCACCTCCCGGTGGGGTGGCCTAGAAGTGGAGCTCTTGCCTCACAGTCAGGAGTCTATGAGTTCGATCCTGGGTAGAGGCAGATATTTCTCTCTCCGAGCACAAAAATGAGAATATATCTGCCGAATAAAACTCCTCATTGGCGAAAGGAAGGGCACCTGGCCAGTAAAACACTCGGCTCCATTCAATGGCCCAGACTCCACACCCGCGAGAGATTACGGGGGTCGTTGAAAGGAGATGATGATTAATTTCACCTTCCCTCTTTCATTCTGCTGCAGTTACAAACAGAAGCTTAACCCGGGCTCGCTGACCTCCTATATGGTCAGCTCCGTCCTCTCCAATCGCCAGGGACAGTCTCCGTTCATCAGAGGCAAGACGATCGTTCAGACCCTCACTGCCTTTTTCGCGTCGGCGGATGCGACCATCACCATGGAGCACGCGCCCATTTGGTGCAAGAACAACCGTGGGCAAAACGTCCTTGTGGAGGAATGCGAAAAGCACGTGAGTGTTTGTTTCTCGGGACCAGGGACAGGCGATCCTCGACTTTACGAGCATTTGTTCAGTGACCGTTTGAAGTTAACGACGGTCCGGAAAAAAAAAGACTTAGGACAGTGATGGCGAACCTTTTTTGTCATGTGCCGAAAGCGCACGCGACCCCCACCACCACCACCAATGAGCGCACAACACCCTCGCCCTGCCACGTTACCTGCACTGTGCATGCGCGCGCCTCCCAGCTGATTTTCGGCCCGTTGGAGGCTGTTTTCACCTTCCCGGAGGCTCGAGAAAAGCCTTTGCCCATTTTCAGCCTCCAGAGGGCCTCTGGAGCCCGGGGGGAGGCCGTTTTTCCTCTCGTGAAGGCTTGAGGGAAGCCTGTGGAGGGCCTCTGAAGCCTGGGGGAGGCTGTCGTACTCCTGGAGGTTCGCGGGAAGCCTCTGCAGCCTCTGGAGGCCAAAAAACGGGCCTTCCGGAAATCCCGGAAGTGCCCGTTTTCAGCCTCCAGAGGGCCTCTGGAGCCCGAGGAAAGCCGTTTTTCCTCTCATGAAGGCCGGAAGTGCCCGTTTTCAGCCTCTGGAGGGTCTCCGGAGCATGGGGGAGGCCATTTTCGCCTTCCCACAGGCTCAAGAGAAGCCTTGGGAGGCCAGAAAATGGGCCCGTTTTGGCACTTCCGATATTTCCGGAAGGCCCATTTTTCGGCCTCCTGAGGCTGCAGAGGCTTCCCTCGAGCCTCCAGGAGGGTGAAAACGGCCTCAAACGGGCCGAAAATCAGCTGGGAGCCATGCACATGCACAGTGCAGGTTAGTTTGGCTGGGGCTCGCGTGCCCTAGGTTTGCCATCACGGTCCTAGGATCATTTTTTTCACACTTACGACCATTGAAGCATCCCCCCCCCGTGCTCACGCGATTCCAAATTCAGACCCTTCGCCTCTTAACACGTACAGGATGTCCTTGACTTACAATAGTTCATTTAGCGACCATTCAAAGTTACAACAGCACGGCAAAAAGTGGGTTACATCACCCCGTTGCAGCAATCCCCAGGGTCATTTGATCAACAGTGGCAACTGACTCATATTTATGACGGTTCCTGACCTCAAGGGGGAATTCTGCCTTTTGCGACCTTCCGGCGAGCAACGTCCACGGGGAAGCCAGATTCACTTAAGAACGGCATTCCTTGCTTCACTTCTGCAGTGATTCTCTTAACAGACACAGCAAGAAAGGTTGCAACATGGGGCAAACTTCACTTAAGAACTGTCTCGCTTAACAACGGAAATGTTGGGCTCTATTGTGGTCGTATGTCAGGGACTACCTCTTATTTATGACAGTTGCAGTCCCCTGGGGTGACATGATCCTTTTTTTATGACCTTCTGAGCAGCAAAGTCCACGGGGGCAGCCAGATTCACTTAACAACTGTGTGACAAACTTGCAGTGATTCTGTCATGCCCCTGGTAGAGACGAACTCTGAGGGAGAGGAGGAACAGCCGACAGGGAGTGGAAGTGTGACTCCGGAGGTTGTGGAGGAGGCTGGGGAACGGCAGAGGCCGGCTGGGCAGTCAGAGGAGGACCCGGCCCATCCCCTCTCCATCCTAGGGCACGCAGGGAGGATAAGGGAGAAACTTCAGTGGCATGGTCTATGGGGGAGGAAAGGGCCCTGATCCCCTTCATGGGCTGCAGCTGTGACAACTGAATAAGAGGACGGACATGCGTACGGGCAAGTGCTGGAAACAAAGCATGGAAATATCTCTAGTTTATGGTTCCTCTCTGAGTTTGGCATCCTTCCCAGTGTGTGTTATCTGTGGACATCCTCCAGTTCTTTATCTTGTCTGGTTTGTGTTGCTTTTTTCCGTCTTCGTGTAACTGTTTGTGTGGGAGTGTTTTTTGGTCTTCCGTCAAAGATATTCGGAGCTTGGAAGCAAACTGAAGGAATAAAA